CCTGGAGGCCGCTGGGTGCCCTTCACATGTTGGTGCTCATCCGGGACTGGCTGTTGGCCGGAGTCAGCTCCCCCTGGCTCCCTTCTCTGGGAGGGGACTGCAGTGGACAGGAGAGAGCTCAGCCAGGGGATGCACAGGTGCTACCCGCTCCCTAATGCCCCCAGCTGCTCACCTTGACATGGATCTGGTTGCGTAGCACAGCTGCCCTTAGGATCATGGCCTTGGCGCGTCGCTGGAACTCCTTCCCCATCAGCAAAGACTTCTCAAAGGTGGTACTGCGCTGATCCACATCCCGAGCATACAGGATCTGTGCAGGGACAGGTTCAGCGGGGCCCAATAGGGGCCCAACAGGCACCCTTGGCCCCACAGCCCCCTAGCCACCTTGCTATGTGAGTCGATGCGGGCGTTAATGAGTCCTTCCAGAATGAGCTGTGTGAGCTCATCCTCCAGTGCTGCCACTGTGGTGTTGAAGGCTGCGGCCATCTTGTGCATGTCAGCTGACACATAAGGGCTGAAGTACTGTGGGGCAGAGAGAGCAACAGCTGCCTGCCACTCTGGGGCACATCCATTCCCACCAGCCTCTGCTTGCCCTACGCCTACCTGGATGAGCGCACGATTGCGGATCTGGGTGTACAGAGTTCTGACGTGGGGAGCGAGATACATGTCCAAAAGCAGGTTGTCCTACAGAGGAAAGCTGGTTAGGGACCTTGCTGGACAGAATCCAGCCAGCAGGGCCAGGACCTTGCCCCTCACCTTCATCTCATCCAGCATCTTCAGGCATGAAGCGTATTTGGACTCATAGAATTTAAAGATGATGTCTCGGACCTGTGGCTCCAGCTCCAGGAATAACTTGAAGGAGCTGCAGATGTCGGAGTGCTCAGCCCCACACCTCCACCTGCCCTCTCTACCCAGAGGGCTGGAAGGGCTCCACTCTCCAGGCACAAGGCTGAAGGGCCCCACACCCCACCCACCTGCTGGAGATGACATTGCGCTGCAGTTCCTGCCGGTCAAATGTGGCCAATGCGCACAGACCTCCATAGATGGCCACGTTGCTGGGGGAAAGTAGCTGAGGGGCAAAAAGGGAGATGGGTTCACTGATGACCTGGCCCATCACCTCCTCAAGAGAACACCTAGGACCCCATTCAGAGGAGACCAACGATGTGACCTGGACGCCCTCACCTCAGGGAAGTCGCAGTGATCGAATGAGGCCAACAGGAAGCACTTGGCAGCCTGCTTGTATTTGCGTGCAGCCAGCTCAGCCAGGCCTAGAGAAGGGGCAATGAGGGAGAGGGTGGTGGCATTAGGCTGCCTGGAGCTGCCATGAGGCCTGGCCATCAGTGGTGCCCCCCAACCTAGAGACAGTCCTAACTGTGAAGCAGAAGTAACTCCATACTCCAGATATGCCTCCTCAAGCCAGGTGCCCAGGGCCTTGAACTGCTGCTGCTGCCTGCATCAGACACCCAGGCTCAGAGACACCAGCTGGGCTGCCAAAAGCAACACAGTGGCTTGTCCCAGGCACATGCTGGCAGGTGTCGCCCTGGTATGTGAATTTGGGACACGTGCATTCAACAGTGCCCTGCAGCCTTCCAGTAACTTCCAGCTGTGATACGGGGCCATTCCTGCCCCAGGGGTGAGGACTCAGGCCTGGGCAACCTCTGGGTGGTGAGAGCCTCACCTGCAGCACACTTGAGCTTGGTGAGGATGCCTTGGGTCTGGCTGTCCCGCTCTCCACGCTGCTGCAGGGGAAAGCCACATGCATAAGAGGGCTGTGCCCCTCCCCTCCTCATCTGGGGAGCCCAGGCCCCAGCCCCAGCCTGAGAGGTGAATGAAAACAAAAGGGTAATGGTCAGGCTCCCACAGCAGGGTCTCCAAGGAGGTGGGCCCTACCTCAGCAATCTCTGGGGTAGACTCAGCCTTGCTGACATAGCTCAGCACATGAGACCAATTCTGCAAGTAGACACTGACCTGGAGAACAAGGGGCAGGGCTACACTGAGCTTGGGTTGCCACCTCCTGGCTACCCGGTGCTGCCCCCTGCCTGCCAGAGGCCCACCTTGATGACGTTGAGGCACATATTGATGACATGCTTGGCACTCGTACAGTAGTCTCGGGCGCGGGAGTAACACTTGAGGGCATTGCTGAGGTCCCCACAGTCAAGGTAGTGATCACCCAGGTCATCGTGGCCGCGCCTGTAGACCTGGCTGTGAGTGGACACAGCAGGGGGCCAGCTGGGCCCAGACACCCCCTTCCCTGGGCAGGCCAGCACCTGATGCTCTCCTTGATGGAGTTGCCCTTGTAGTTCTTCAGGTCTGTGTCCAACTTCTCTAGCTTCAGCAAGGCCTTCTTCCGAGTGGCCTCCACCCAGGCTGTGTCCAGAGGTGGGGGCTCCACACCACTCTCAGGAATGGCATCGGGGGCATTCTGGAGCTCCCTGAGGGAGGACCTGGCCATCAGGACGCCGACGGTCACAGGGGCCAATGAGGTGGGCAGATGTTGCCAGCCACAGACAAGCCCTCAAGAGGCTCATTCCCAACCCCAGCTAAAGGGCCACCTGTACCAGGAGCACAGGGACAACTGCTGACCCAGGAGCCCTCGGCTGAGAGGGGAGTGCTTCCAGGACAGGACTAGCTCCATGGGCTCCCCTAGAACATGCAGGCAGGTGCAGCTCCTTCAGCCCAGAGAGGTAACACAGTGGCTTGTCTGGATTTGGGACACATGCATTCAACCATGCCATCCAACCATGAGCAGGGCCTGCGCAGCCTGCCCCTGCACTGCTTACCACGTGCGGGAGTGCTGCTGTGTCACTGCACAGCTAGGGCACTGGGCATGGCAGGAGCACGGGAGGGCCCCCTCCCCCCCATCCAGGCCAGTCCCAAGCAGGGGGAACACCACATCCACCCCGGACACTTCCCACCACAAACGCCTTTTTTACCAAGACCCTGGCCTTACCTGGTGGCTTCCGAGAGCTTCCGATGTATCTCCTCATACATATCCACATTGAAGGTCCTCTGCACGAAGGAAAGGGCCATCTTCAGGGCTTCCACCCGCAGTGGGGGGCAGTGGTCAGCAATGAACTGCAGCCGCTCAATGCGCATCAGCCCACTGTAGCTAGCTGCATACTGCTCCAGATCCTAGCACAGGAGTGAGAAGAAAGCAAACAGAGGGTTGGACAGTGCATAATAAGGCAAGGTCCCATATCTCAAGCCCAGAGACAGCAGACAGAGAAGTCTGACTGTCCACAACAGGCACTGGACCTGATGGTACTGAGACCACTGGGTAGGTGGAGATCTCATGGTAGAGCTCTGCACCTCATGGCACTTATTAGTACTGGACTGGACTGAGCAGCCAACGGCATTTAACAGGCTGAGTCTCCCTGGAGATGAGACTCAACAGTCAGGGCTACTCCAGGTGGGTGAGAAGTGGGTGCAGGATGTCAGGCTAGGCTGAGAACCCAACATAAATGAGTGACAGAAAGCTGAAGAGTCTCCCAGTTCAGAGAAAGAC